GAAAAACCAGAAACAAAACCATAAACAAATAATAATCAGTGCTGGTGAGTCTGGGGGAGAAAAGACATTTCTGTGTTGTTGGAGAGAATGTAAACTAGTAAAATTGCTATGGAGATTCCTCAAAAAGCTAAAAATAGGAATTCCATTTGACACAGCTATTCCCCTTCTAGGTATCATCCTAAAAGAGTTAAAAATCATCATACTACTTGCATGCCTGTGTTTATAGCTACACAGTTTATAATGGCTAAGTGTTGGAAACAGCCTATATGTCCATCAACAGATGACTGATAAAGAAAATGTAGTATTTATGTACAATGGAATATTACTCTGCTATAAAGAAAGATAAACTTAAGGGGCTTATAGGAAAATGGATACACCTCAAGACCATAATGTTAAGTGAAATAAATCAGACATACAAGTTTAAATATCGAATGGTTTCTCTCATATGAGAAACCCGAAGTATAAATAAAAAGCAAAATAAAAGATAGATAATAGAAAGTAGGAAGATCTTTTTCATTGGTCTTTTCTTTTTTTTTTTTTTTGGTTTTTCTCCGGTACCAGGAACCGAACTCACGACCTTGCGCTTGCCAGGCAGGCGCTTTAGGAAGATCTTTTTCAAATGTGAAGGGGAACAAGAAATGGAGGGAAAGGGGAGGGAAGGAAGGGAAAGGGATTTAAAAAAATAGAATCAAAGAAAAAAATGGAAACAGAGCTTTTGTAAATGGAAAGGGGAACAAGAGTTGGAGGGAACAGGGAGGAATGAGGGGGAAGAGGACAAAAAGAAGAATGAAGATGTGTTATGCACATGTACGGACTCCCCACAACAACTGTCATCATTTTGTATTGTAAACACATAGTAATAAAAAATAAATAAACGAGAAAAGAATGTACAAAATTTATTACTATATGAATAAAGCACGGCAGTGTTAGACTCCATCAATTAGTTTCTGTAATATTTGTTTTTTATTGTCATTGTTTTGTTTTTGTGGATTGAACCCAAGGGCTTTGTGTGCAGTAAGCACATGTTCTACCACTGAGCTACAACCTCATCCCCCATGGTTTTACAATAATACTTCAAATAATAAAACATTAATACTACAATTTTCCAAAGCAGATTTATGAGTCAGTTTTTCGGAACTCAGAACTTTTTTTTGTCTTTTCTTTTTTTTTTTGGGAAAGGGTCTCACTATTCAGTTCAGGTTGGCCTTGAAACTTACTCTGTAGCCCAGGCTGACCTCAAACTCGTAGTGATACTCCTGCTTCAGCCTCCTGAATGCTGGGATCACGGGTATGTGCCACCATCGCCGTCTAGAACATTTACTAGAAACAAACGGGTTGGTTGGGTTCTCCCATCAGGTTAGCTAAAAAATACTCATTGTCCACATTATAGGTCCATTTTCCCTAATCTGACTTTACCTTCCAGCCAGACTCAGTGATTCAGACTCTTCCATTGTGACCTCTAGACTCCATGCCCAGCCTCTCCTCTTAGCAGCTGGTGCTGACACCTGTCTGTCTGGAGGGCACACGTGCCTGGAAGCCCTCCTTACAAAGCCTTGTCTGTTGGCCTGGTTTGCCGTATCGCAGTGTTTGCAGTTGGAAGTGCTGCTCCCCAGTGTGCAGGGGGACCATTATTTGTCCTTATCCATCAAAATTTCCCGCTCCTTTGCAGCTCACATCTTGTATATATTACCTGCTATCTTTGCTTGTCGCTAGGGTCTTCAGGTCTGGTCATACATCCAACGGCACTGATAACTTTAGCATCTGGATCATTATTTCCTTTTTACACTTACATTTCTATCCTCATTCTTTAAAATTCTTCCAAGTAGCTAGGCATGCTGGCACATGCCTGTCGTCCCAGCTACTTGGGATGCTGGAATAGGAGGACCGTTTTAGGCCAGGAGTTCTAGTCCAGTCTGGACAATATAGCAAGACTCCATCTCAGAAAACCAAAACGAAATAAAAGCCTTCAGGGCAATCCATGTAATTGTACCTCTCAGCTCCCCAGTCTCACCTCCAAGATCCTCAGTGCATCCTCATGCCCTTCCCTGGCCTTTGTCACTTCCAAAAATAACCTCTCATGATCACTTCTTTGATTTCCCTTCATTCACGCATGCCTCCCCACTCCTTTCACCCCATGGGGACCTCTGAACCACTGCCTATCAGTTGTCACTATTCACCATCTCCTTTCTGCGTTACTGCTCTTCTGAGCCAGTTTATACCCAGGATCAAATATAATTGCTTTCCCTCTATTTTAGCAAAACCTCAACACTGGAACATTTCCACCATCAGCCACTTAGGTCCTTACACCCAAAGGTGCAAGGCTCCTGGCGGTGGGGGGTGGCAGAGAAGAATCTGCACTAATGCTCACTGGTATCACTAAGTCAGCAGCTTCTACCTGGGAGGAGTTTTGCTCCTTCCCTCTCCAAAATAGTAAGCAATGTCTGGAGACTTATCTGAATGTTACATGGTGTGGGGTGGGGCATATTCTACTCACATCTAACTGATAGATGTCAGGCAGCTGCTAAATATCCCATAATGCCCAGCACAATCAAGAATGACCTGGCCCCAATGTCAACAGCATCAACATTCAGAAATTTTGCTTTAAACCAATCACTACAACTCTCAAAAGGGCAATTGCATTTGCTGTTATTGGTGCCTATAACACCGTTTCCTGGAGGCTGGCTCATTGTGTAACAGTCACTTCCACAAAAGTGGCCCTGCCTTTATTTGAGATTGGAGTCAGGCTCATTACAGTACTGTTCCATTTATGCCTTTATTGCCTTTCTTTTCCTTCTAGAAAATAAGTCACCCAAGCACAGCATCCTTTATCTGTTTTGTTCACTACTGTGTGGTTTCAGTCAAGTACTATGTGGGGTCTGGCACATAACAGACACTCAGAAATATCTGTGGAACAGTGGATAAAAATATTATTTCTTTACAGTTCATTCATCCATCCATCCAATACTCACTGGTGATATAAATCCAGACTCAAGCTGAGTGTCGTGATGTTGATCTGCCATCCTAGCACGCCAGGGGACTGAGGAGAATTACAAGTTCACGGTCAGCCTGGGCAACTTATGGACGTCACAAGACCCTGTCTCCAAAAAAGAAAAAAAAATCAGAAAAAGAAAAGTACAGAGCTATGAGAACACTGAGCGATGACCTGACTCATTCTGGGGTGGGACAGTCAGGCCAGGCTTCCTGGCAGTGAAACTTACACTGATAGCTGAAGGAAGAGTCAGCTGGATAGAGGGAGGTGGTTGGGATGGCTGGAGAAGAACGTCCAGGTTTGGAGAACAGAAGAGTGTTCAAAGGAGCGTGTGAATTATATGTCAGGAACACAGAGAAGGCCAGTGTGCCTGAGGCAGAGTTTGGTAAGCCATGATGTTGTATTTACTCGAAGGAGCACAGTGCTGTAATCCTGGCACTCAGGAGGGTCACCATAAGTTTGAGGCTAGCCTGGACTACATAAACAAACAAAAAGAAACATGTACTTTGGAGCTACAAGTCACTCTTAAAAAAAAAAAAAACCCTCACCATTAATCAATAAACATGAATAACAGTGTTTATGGAGGACTGCATTTCATACAAAGGTAGATTAACTAGGTTAACATGAAAACCCCCTTTATGTCTATTGACTATATGGAGGAAAGAGTTAAGAGGAAATGTTTGGGAGGAAAGTACATAGATGGTAAATGTACGGGAACTGAGGTAAAACAGAAAGAGCGCCAAAGAAAGGTGTTCTGAGAGGTGTGAGGAGAGGTAGATTAGGAGGAAATGGTAAGAAAAGGGGGTGAGAGGCAGTGATGTGCAGACAGGAAGACGAAACGATGGTTTTTTGTTTTTTGTTTTTTGTTTTTGGTTCTGGTTTTTCTCCGGTACCGGGAACCGAACTCACGACCTTGCATTTGCCAGGCAGGCGCTTTGCCGCTGAGCTAAATCCCCAGCCCCCCAAATGATAGGTTAACAGTGTTGTTGGGCTCCAAGAGGCTGGAGATAGGGGACAGTGGAAGACTAAGAGGGAGCAAAGGGCCAGAGAGATAGCTCAGGGGCACAAGCGCCTGCCTGGCAAAGCACAAGGTCCTGAGTTCGATTCCCCGTACAAAAAAAAAAAAGAGGAAAGAATACATGCTTGGAAGAGCTGTTGGAGGGAATGATGGGCCTAAGCTTGGGAGAAGTGAGAGAGCGAGGTGGAGGTCTGACGGTGGAGAAGGTCACCCCGGAGAGCCAGATGTTAGGAAGGACAGAGGGTGGGGGAATGGAAGCCGCACACAGAGAGGCTGGCCCCGGCTCCACAAGTGTGTGGCTGGTGGGGAGGTACTCCCCACCTCCTGCTGGCTCCCCTCAGGGGTTCCTTGACTAGGAGCCTTGACGTTGAAGGGGCCACTAAGTCACACATTGAGTCACATTAGGGGTTGGAATGGGGGTAGCAGGGAGACGGGCTTGTTGGGGAACAAGGCCCAGCAGCCTGACAGAGGGCTGGGGGAAGCAGTGAAAGCGGAGGGTGCTGGGGACGCGACTGGCAGTGCAAACTCCAAGCAGGATGCCGTAGAAGAGATCCCTCGGTACTGGGCCAGGGCCCTTGAAGGTGGGGCCGGCTAGGCAGGAGAAGAAAAAGAAGAGCGGAGGGTGGAGGCGAAAGTAGGGCTGGACAAAGAGCACTCGGGCGGAAACTGGCGGCGGGGTGCCGAGTCTTTCCCGGGGCGCGCTGCAGCTCGGGCTCCGAAGGGTCCCAGGCCCACATATGGGGAAGAAGGGAAAGGGTAGCTGGCGCCAGAGGGGAGTCCAGTAGCTGAGGGCTGCCTAGGAGCTAGAGACTCCCGACAAGCAGTCGCTTCCTCTCCAGCGGCGGTGAAAGCTGGGCAAGGGAAAGGGGCGTGACCCTGTTGCTCAGGTTTCTTCCTCTTCACCTGGGCAAGGAGGAGTGGGGGCCAGGACTTCCGGTTCAGGTGGGTGTCCCTTCAATGACGTCAGGTCATCCTCAGCAGCCTCTCCCACCCCCCTCCCGCGTTCCCGGTGTCCCTGCGGCGCGTCCCCGACGCCCTGCATATATACGCAGGTGCGCCGCACCTGTCCGCCCGCACCTGGCCGCTCCCCGCCCAGCCGCTTCCTCCGCGCGCCGCAGCCTCTTGCCACCAGGCCGGGACACCTGGGGACTGCGCCCAAGCAGGGAGCGCCGGAGAACCGCCTGGCCTTCGGGGACTGCTTTGTCTGAGCCAGCCCTTCGGGCGCAGCCTGCCCGTCCGCCGTGAAACCGTCGCTCCACCGAGGGGTCGATTGTGTTTACTTCGAGTGACAAGATTTACAGTCACCCAGCCAAAAACTTTGTTGTCTCTTTGGGGGACGTAAAAGCACCCCACGCTGTCGTTAGTGGGGCTGCCCCCGCCCACATTTTGTTTTACTGTAGGGTCGCCTGCTCGGCGTCCCGTCTTTTCTGAGGGCGGAAATGGCCAATTCGGGCCTGCAGCTGCTGGGCTTTTCTCTAGCGGTGCTGGGCTGGGTGGGCCTGGTGGCGAGCACTGCCATCCCACAGTGGCAGATGAGCTCGTACGCGGGCGACAACATCATCACGGCTCAGGCCATGTACAAGGGGCTGTGGATGGAGTGCGTCACCCAGAGCACCGGGTTGATGTCCTGCAAGATGTACGAGTCGGTGCTCGCCCTGCCCGGTAAGGCGGTTGGGTCGACGGGGCGGACGCGCCGAGGGCCAAAGTGGCGGGCGAGGGTGTGGCAGAGGCCCCTTGGCCGGGCACCCTGGGTTGCCAGGGAGTAGCAGGAAGTAGAAGTGGTCGGGAGGGCAGTAGGGTTGGGCGGGAGCTCCGCGGGGTCAGGCGGCTGCACGTGGGCCGGGTCGCAGGCTGCCTTTGCTCCCCTTCTCTGGGCCGCGCCTCCTCCCAGGCTGGGGTCGTCGTCCACCACCCAGCGTCCTGGGCAGAAGAGGGCACCGCGCGCAGGCCGGGCCGAGGGCAGAGGTACCGTGCGGGTTGTCAGAAGTGGGCCGCCGCTTGTGGCCTCTAATCTTATCTGTCGATAAGTCGAAGCCACAAACCCTGTGGCCTGGCTAGCGGGCCAAGCTGTCCCGCTCGCCCGCAATGTGTGACCTGCAGCCGAGGCTGTGGCGGCCACCTGCACCTTTTTTGCTACTCCTTCTCACCCTTCCCCCTACCGGGAGCAGTTTCATCGAAACCCTGGCGCCCCGGGCGGGTTCTTGAAAGGGCGGGGCTGGAGCGGGAAGGCCGCCTAGGCGCCGGGGGCGGGAACCTGCCGCTCCGAGCAGACCTAGGACACTGAAGAGGCCCCGGGCCGGGGAGGCGGGGGAGCCTGGAGCCACCTGGAGTCACCTGAGGGCCACCTGCACATCCATCAGTGATGCCGATCTTTCCCTCCGCAGCGACAATACAAGCCACTCGAGCCTTAATGGTGGTGTCCCTAGTCCTGGGCTTCCTGGCCATGCTAGCATCCACCGTGGGTATGAAGTGCACCCGCTGTGGGGGAGATGACAAGGTGAAGAAGGCCCGCATAGCCATGACTGGAGGCATCGTTTTCATCGTGGGAGGTGAGTGACCTTTGTTTCCATCCATCCAGGAGGGAAAAGCGTTGGTACTCAAAGTATAGTATGGGACTCTCCTTCTCTCACCAGGTCTTGCCTCCCTGGTAGCATGCGCCTGGTGTACTCATCAGATTGTCACAGACTTTTATAACCCTTATACTCCTGTGAATTCTAAGTAAGTCTGGAAGACAGGTGATCTGGAGTCCTGGGGTAGCGGGGACAGCAAGGGCAGGCCAGGGTTCTGAATCCTGATCCCCTCTCTCCACAGGTACGAGTTTGGTTCTGCCATCTTTATTGGCTGGGCAGGGTCTGCTTTGACCATCCTGGGGGGTGCACTGCTCTCATGCTCCTGTCCTGTGCGTGACAGCAAAGCTTCCTACCGTGCTCCCCAGTCCTACCCCAAGTCTGCCTCTGCCAAAGAATATGTGTGAGCTGGGGTTCCGTGCTCCAGCGTGACAGGCTGTGGGTGTGCCCAGATGCCCTCTTCAATCTGGGGTAGAGGGATCAGCCTGTGGGCAGGGTGTGGGACAAAGGCCTTCAGGTCAGTCCTTCCCTGCACACCATGTATATTTCTGGGGGGTAGGCTAGGGGTGAAACAAAGGAGGGTATGCTTTTTGTACAGTAATAAAAAATACATTTTGGAAAATAGGCTTTTTTTCTTCGGGACCTCTGCTTTCCTTCCTGCACAGACCCTAATGGGACATGGAACCTAAAGTGCATCTACTTCACAGTTTAAAAAAACCAAACCAAACCCAACCCCCACTTTTAGAGCACCAGTGTTGTGCCAGGCTGTCCCAGCCCATTTCATTGTTAGTCAGGCCTAATACCTCCACTCTGGACTCAAAAGACTCAGGTGGTTGCCCCCCTACTGTTCAAATAGTTACCAGAGTTTGTTTTAATAATAAAAAATACTTTATTAAGTAGGGAGGGCTCCTATTCTCTCGTCTTACCCTATGCCCTCATTCTGCTTTGGGCAGTGATCAGCTGCTGCTCCCTGACTGGCAGGGAGGGGGAGGGACAGGGTCAGGCCAATGCAAACTGAAGGATGGTTCTGGGCCCAGGCTTCCCCTTCCTGCTCCCACTACAGTCCAGTTAAATTTGACTGTCAAATATCCAAGTCATCATCTGGATCTTCTGGGTCCAGGTCATCGTAAGCATCTGGCTCATAGAAGATGTGGCTGGAAGCCTGGCTTGGCTCAGAGCAGAGCAGAGCTTGTTGTCTGAAGAGAGAATTGGTGACTATGAGGGTGGGTAACACGTCAAGTCTAGATACCCTCTTCCACGTGACTGGCTGTTACTCAGCCAAACTCCTAAGCCTCTGTCTATTTCCTGGTCACAGTCCATCTCTGAACTCCCATTATTTGTCAGGGCGGAAGCACTACCCACCCAGGGGCAGGTGCTCATATACTGCTCTAACAACACTCTATGTTCTGAGTAGCTTGAGGGCAAGGATTCTCCCACAGTCTTGCTTCACCTACCCACGCACTGGGCACAGTGCAGCAACGTTTGCCACACCCATACAGCTTCCTGTCCTAGCACTGCTTCCTGGAGACAGGCTACCTCTCCAGGTTCTAGTCTGGCTCAGCCCAGGCTCAAATTACTCTGGAAACAACCATGGAGCTGGAACCCACTGGTCTAATGAAAACGGGAAACACAGAGGCCCTCTGCCCTTATGGAAGATATGAGTAGGAAGGGAACCACTCTCTGGGCTTGTCTCTGGAGGTGGACTTCAGCCCCTATAAAGTCTGAGGGGTTAATCAATAACTTGTCATCACCCCACCTCTCTGTGGCCCAGATGCTGGGCTCTACTCATGGACTGAGGATCCTAAGCTCCAACCTTACTTTTCAGAGCTGAACTGGAAAGGCAGAGTCAGGCTATCTCTGGTTTCTCTTTCTTTCTTGGACAGGCGAAGATTGAAGGTCAGGTGAGCTGTGGGGTCCACCTGTAGGTACAAAGGATGCGGCTACTTGGACCCATCCACAGAATCTCTGACCCCACCCCCAACCTCTGTAGTTTTTATTCTCCTTGTCAGCCCCCTTGTTCTTGCCCTGGCACTCTTCAGATACCAGTAATGTGTGAGGATCTGAGTGGGGCTGAGACTGTAGGGTGGACCCCTCTTGGAGATCCACGCTGAAGTCAGGAAGGATGGAAAACCACTGAGTCTGGGGAGAAGAAAGAATAGTTAAAAGTATCCCCCCCCCCCCCCCGGGTAAAGAACATGAACAACATGCACAAAGCCCTGTGTTCAATCGCTAGTACCATAAAAATTTTTTAAAAAAACAGCCACAGGAAGCGTAGAGGGCTGGGGATACAGCTCTGGCAGAGCACCTGCCTGGCAAGCGCAAGGTCCTGAGTTCAATTCCTGGTGGTGGTGGGGGAGGAAGTATGGAATTATATAGTCCTTTAATTGTCCCATCATGCCATTAATTTCTCTGACCCTAACCTCTATCCCCATCGATTTTCCTAACCTGATGAGCTGGACGATGTCTGGGCTTCCGGTAGAGGATATGGGCTGAGGTTCGGCCCATTGTACCATCTAGGGTCACTTCGATCTGAGCAAGGCTGCTCAGTGCTCCAAGGGGGCCTGCAGCGTGGAGCTCCTCATGCAGCAGGCCCAGCACATTCACCCGCTCTACTGGAGAGCTGTCACCTGGAGAGGAATAAGAAAATTAAGGGCACAAAAGACAGTAGAGAACCTGTAGAGTGGAGGCCTGGGAGGAAATAGTGAAGAAAAGGATGGAGAGACCTGCATTCCATCCTAACTCTGCCACAATCCCAACTTTGGCCATCCTAACTCTGCCACAGTCCCAACTTTGACCAATCCCAACTCAGGGCCCTGCACTGAGCCTCTTCCTACCTACACCTTAACATACTTCCTTACTCTAAGGCAAATGTGATCAACCACTCTGGGTTCAGTCCTTCAGCAACTCCTCACAGCCTTCAGGATGGAACACACACTTTCACACTTAACTCCATTAACTTTCCAGTCTCATCTCTTCCACACTCAACTACTTGCAGTTTTAGAACCTTGCCAAGATTTCAGTGCCTCCTTTCTTCCCCCAGTTTTTGGGAGCATTAACAGAGTGTCAGGCATTGTACCAAACACTTTAACACAGCACTTCAGTGCTTACAAATGTCAGGTTTTATTTATTTTTTTGGTGGTATTGGGGATTGAACCTAGGGCCTTTGCACTAATCTACACTCGCAGGCCTTTTTCAATTTTTTATTTTGAGACAGGATCTTGCTATGTCACTAGTTTGCGCAGGCTGGGCTTGATATTGTGATTCTCTTGCCTCAGCTTCCCAGAGTGCTGGGATTACAGGCCTGTGTCACCACACCTGGGCAAAGATCAACATTTTTAGACCAAACCATATGGCAATTTCAAATGGTTCATTCCAATGTGATATTTCTTCCCTTACCACTTTTTTGCAGGGGAAACTGAAGCACCTAGGGATCAAGCACTTTCATACAAAGCTTAATATATCTAACTCCAAAACCTATAGTGTACTTTAGGGCTAATCCACTGCCCTTTTCTGGATAAGCCTGGCTGACCTGTGGCTCTTCAAAATGGTTCTTTCCTTAAGGCACCCTGTACATGTCCCTATATCATCACAGATCTTATCAGACTATTTTGTAACTGCCTGTTTACCTGTCTGTGTCCTTTACGAGACTTTGAACTCCAGGAAAGCAACGACACAACAAAGTTAGTCTTTACTTTTCTGTTATCTAGAATTGTACCTGACAGATTCTACATATTTAATCCTTGTTAAATGGGTAAAGAAAATAAATAAAAAAGGCTGAGGTGTTGGAATAAAGTCTGATGAAAGATCCTTGATGCTTCTGCTTAAGGTAGGGAAAGTCATTCTTGGCAGGAAGAGACACATGAGGGAAAGCAAAGGTCTCACCACAACACGAACCTTGACGGCATAGAGCATGGAGGGTCTGGCAGACTGTGCTACAAGGAAAATGAAGCAACAGCCAGCTGAGTGAATCAAGAGCAATGGTGACTGGCCTAAGATCTGTCGGCCTGCACATGGCTCTCAAGGCTTCCAGGGGTCCCCGAGGAAAAGCCTCATTTTTTGACCAATTGAGAGGGTCTCTGAAGAGGTCATGGTAAACCACTCTGCAAAAAGAAAATAAGAGACGTAATATTACACTTTCTCCCTGAGATACCCTAAAAATTCACAAAACCTAATTACTCAGAAAGTCTGAAGCCTAAGTTGTAAGCTTGACATTACTACTCGTCCAAGGTCACCTAATTTAACATTTGTTCTAAACTCTTCATCTGTACTATCACTACCTTAAGTTATGGCTCTACTCTTCCTACCATTCTCTAAGACTCAGGGGAGGGTCACCGCTATGTCTCCAAGACCCAGCACATCTGGGTTGTAACTGATGCCCAAAATGTATGCATTGCCTCTGTGAACATGGATTACTGCAATAGCCTTCCTACCTGATCTTCCTGGCTCCATGCTGCCACCTTCCAATACATTCTCCACACTGTGGTCACTGTCTGGATTAGTATTTCTAACAGGAATGTTGTTATCAATTCTCCCCAAATTTTCAAATAACTCGTCACTGCCTTTGGGTTAACATCTCCTTTTCACACACTATAAGACTTTTTACAACCAAGTACCTCTTTATCTGCATATCCTTCGGTACCTCAGGAAGCTCTTTCACCTCCCATAAAGAGTTATTACTTATTATACTCTCATTCTGCACAAGCTGTTTTATCTGCCTCTAGGACAAGTCCCTCAGTAGCTTGCAGTGTTGAGTCAAATCTAGAATCCATGACTGATTTAAGCACCACCAGATTCTGGAGAACTCAAAAGGCATATTCTTTTCTTTTTTTTTTGGTACTGGAAATCGAACTCAGGACCTTGCACTTGTCAGGCAGGTGCTTGAGCCACTAAGCTATTATCTCTGGACCAGCATATTTATTCTTTTCCTCTAGTATGACCTTTCATACTAAGCTGCACGGTCTGCCTTTTATTACTATTACTCTTAAATTCGAGGATCTCTGCTTTGTATTGCCCAAACTGTCATCATTCTCCACCATTCCTCTTATTAACTTTCATAACCTTTAAAAGATCCATATCTACAGGCCGGGCAGGGTGGTGCATGCCTGTAATCTCAGCACTATGGAGCCTGAGGCAGGAAGATCGCCGCCAGTTCAAGGCCAGTCTGGGCTACATAGTGAGTCCAAGACCAACTTGAACTACATATTGAGACCCTGTCTTAAAAAAAAATCCAGATCTATTCATTCACCGAATAAATGGCTGCTACTACATACTAGATTCTGTGCTCGTTGCTGTAAATGAAGTCCATTACCAACAGAGGTCCTGCATCTATCGAAGTATCTCCCCATTTGTACTCACCGGCTGTTAATATTGGAGTCAAAACCTTCTCGAAACTCTTCCTCGCTGATTTCGCAGCCCAGGACGTGAATCTGCTCTCCACTTAGGCAAGACAAGGGGGAACAGTCGAAGCGTAGGGCACAGACTCCCTTCCCCCAGCAAGACGGGAGGTTCAGCCAGATACTCACCAAAGTGCAGATTGCTTGATAAGCGCCTTCAAGAAGTCGCGCCCTTCCCACTCTATGGAATCTGGGGAAAGTAAGGACCCTCAGCTTTCCGCCTTCACGAACCCGTCACGGATTCTATCCGTGGCCTGTGCCTCTGTGCCTAAGACCCTTACCCCGAAGCAGTACCAATCCGCCAAAGGCCAACAGCGACTCCAGCATCTCTGACTGCTGTCCCCGCCCACTCAGACGCGCTCTGATGGCGTCACGGCCCCGCCGGCTCCAGTGAACGGGGCGGGGCATTCAGGATTCCGCCCACCATTAAGTGCGGGCAAAATCTGGAACGAAAGGTGATTTTGTGTTCAGTATTTCCAGAGGGGGTCATGCGGAGGAACACCTCCACATTCTTGGAGCACAGAGCTAGGGACGACAACAACAGTCCACGTTTCACCGTGACAGGAGCCGCAGGAGCCGTTGGGACTGTTGTCCGGCAGCAAAGGGGCGTCGCACGAGCCCTACCTATACTGCGATCAGAACCCCGGGTCAGCTGACGTCAGCTCGCCCCGCCCACGCTGTTCTTGGCTTCGCTCCAGGCCCCGCCCCGCGACTGCCTTCCGCGCGTGCGCGATACTGCCGGCTTGTTCGGGCGCTCTAGGCTTTCCTTATCCCTACCCCCATAAGACCCAGGCGAGGGAACTTTAGTCCCGGTGAAGCGAATACACGTCACCAGCGGAAGTAGTGTCAGAGGGGAAGAGGAGGGGGAAGAGAGGAGGAGGGAGACCTCTGGGTGGTAAAATGGCGCCTGTCAGAGTAGGAAATCCAGCGGCAGTGGCTGCAGCCCCAGTCCCCAGCGGCTAAGGGACCTCTGACCTCGGGGAGGGGGAGGCCACTCCGGCCCAGTGCTCCGCGCCTTTCGGCTCCCCCTCCCCCTCCTTCCCTCCTCCTTCACTCAGCCAGGCTGTTCTCTGCCGCCGCGGCCCTTCGCGCGCCGCTGCCCCCGCCCGCCGCTTTCCCGCGGGCAGC